TCTAATGGAGACAATGGGCTATTGAAGTCCCCTACTATTAATGAGTTGGGATTAATCTGGGTCTTAAAGTCCTGTAGTATTGTTTTTATGAAGTTGCGTGCACCAGATTTTGGTGGATATATGTTCATAATTGTAATAGCTTCTTGGTTTATTGTTCCTTTGATCAGAATGAAGTGGCCCTCTTTATCTCTTCTGATTAATTTTAAAGTCTATTTTTATCAGATATTAGAATTGCAATGCCTGCTTTTTTCTTAGTACCATTCACTTGGTCTATTTTTTTCCATCCTTTCACCTTAAGGTAGTGCCTGTACTTGAAAGTGAGGTGAGTTTCTTGCAGACAACAAACAGATGGGTTTTGCTTCTTTTCTTTTCTTTTCTCTTCTTTTTTTTTTTTTTTTTTTTGGTCTTTTTGAAACAGGGTCGGGTTTTGTTTCTTAATCCATTCAACTAGTTTGTGTCTTTTGATTGGGGAGCTCAGGCCATTGATATTTTAAAGTTATTAATGAAAGATGTGTATTGAATACTGTCATTTTTATTTCTGTTCACATTTGATATAGCTGTGCATTTCCACAGTTATATCTATTTGATTTCTTTCTGTAACCCCTTGGGTATAGTCGTTCCTTTCTTCAGTGCTTTGTATTATTTCAAGAACTCTCTGAAGGGCTGGTTTTGTGGACATGAACTCTTTCAGCCTATTTATGTCATGGAATATTTTTCTTTTCCCTTCAACTATAATAGACATTTTGGCTGGGTAAAGCAATCTGGGTTGGCATCTTTGGTCATTTAGAACTGGGAACACTTTGGTCCTCTTATGGCTTTTGTAGTTTGCACTGAAAAGTTGGCTGTACTCCTGATAGGTTTTCCTTTATATGTGATTTGTTGTTTTTCTTTTGCAGCTTTCAGTATTTTCTCTTTGTTCTGTATGTTTAGTGTTTTTACTATGATGTGCCATGGAGAGTTGCTTTTCTGGTCCTATTTGGTGTTCTATATGGTTATTGTATTTGTATGGGCATGTCTTTCTTTAATTCTGGGATATTTTCTTCTACAATCCTGTTGCAGATCTGTTCCATACCATTATCTTGGGATTCTTCTCCTTCCTGTATGCCTATGATTCATAAGTTTGGTCTTTTTATGGTGTCACACAATTCTTGCATATTCCATTTTTGTATTTTCTTAAATTTTTCATGTTTGCTTGAGTGGTCTAATTCATCCACTTTATCTTCCAGTCTAGATATTCTGTTTTCCATTTCATTCATCCTATTGGTGAGGCTTTATCCTTTCATTTCCAATTGGTTTACTGAGTATTTCACTTCCTTCTTCATTTCAGCTTGAGTATTCTTCAATATTTCTAACTCTTTTCTGAATTCATTCAGAAGTTTATCCCTATCTTCCTTCAGTACTTTGATTTCTTTGTGTGTTCTTTAAATTCACTGAATTCTTTTATCTTATTTATAATTGTTCTTTTGAGTTCCATGTTCTGTGTTATTTCTACAGGGTTCTCATTGTACTCCTCTAGAGGACTGTTGGTACTTGGTGGGGATATATTATTTTGGTTTTTCATGTTATTATTTTTTCTCTGTGACTTTGACATGTGAATTTCTTTTGTAGTTTCTGATTCTTGTGTGAGACTCAAGCTTTCCTTTGTTGAGTTTAGGTCTGTTTCTTTTTGTAAACTTCATGTGCCTTTGTGGTTTACTTGTTGGGCATGAAAAGCTGGTTGGTCTAGGCTTCAGGTTCTCTCTTTTGATTTTACATTAGAATGGCCAAGTTGCTTTCATCTTCAGGAGTTCCTACAGAGGCCCAAGTTGGCTGAGGATCATACGCTCTCAAGCTTTCTCCTAATGTCTGGATCCCTCCAGGAAAGATGCTACCCTCAGGAATTTGGGGGATGGGCTGGCCTGGGAGCAGGGCCCAGGAAAGATGCTGGTCTCAGGAAGCTGGTGGCTGTGCCACCCAGGGATGTAAAGGGTAATGGGGTCAGGAAGAGGCCACGAGGGCTCCTGGGGACTACTGGGAAGAACTGGATTGGTCCGGATGCAAAGGATCAGGAAGCAGTGGGGATTCTGGGCCAAGAGGTCAGTCCGCGTGTCTGGAGTGTCAAGAAAAGAAATGGGCCAGTATCCAGGCTAGGAGGGGCACTGGGAAGGTGAACAATGCTGGGGGAGTCAAGGTGCAGTGGGCTGCAGGACCCATCCAGGAAAGATGCTATCACCAGGAAGCTGGTGGCTGAGCTGCTCAGGGAAGCAAAGGTAGATGGGGACAGGACAAGGTCCAGACAGCTCCTGGGGACTGCAGGGAGGAACTGGGTTGGTCTGGGTGCAAAGGATCAGGAAGCAGTGGTGGCTTCCTGACCGAGAGGTCAGCCCCAGTGTCTAGGATGCCAAGACAAGAAATGGGCTAATACCCAGGCTAGGAGGAGAAATGGGGCAGGGGAGCTGGGAGGGTGAATGAGGCTGGGGGAGCCAAGTCACGGTGGGCACCACTGGACTTTCCCAGAAAAGGTGCTGGCACCAGGGCACCAGAGGCTGTGCAGCCCAGGGAAGCAAAGGTAGGTGGGGGCAGGACCAGGTTCAGAGGCCTTCTGGGGACTGCAGGGAGGGATTGGGTTGGTCTGGATGCAAAGGTTCAGGAAGCAGTGGGGATTCTGGGCCTAGAGGTCAGTCCAGGAGTCTGCAGTTCCAAGACAAGAAATGGGCCAGTACCCAGGCTAGGAGGGGAGTTGGGAGGGTGAATTTCAATGCCATTTTCTGACCTCTGCAGACATTGCACAACATGGGTGCACTTATATACAAGCAGGCAATACACTCATACACATAAAGTAAAAATAATAAATAAAATATTAAAAAAAATTTTGGGATACTGTAAAAGAAAATGTGATGCACTAACTCAGCTGGAGGAGCTGGTGTAATTGGGCTTGGGTGGAACCTGGACAGTATTTTAAGTGTTCACAATGACTTTGAGAAGACCAAATCAGATGATCCACTGGGGATTATTTTTGGACTGAACTATCTTAGGTGGCATCTGAGAACAGTAGGTCCAGGCTCTCTGAAGATTTAGATTCCTTGCCCTTCTGGGAACCCCATACACACATTTGTCTTGCCTGCCTCCAGGCAGCTGGAACACGGGACTTCCTGGCAGCTTTGGTGCTGTCTAGGTACTCACCCAGAATTACATTGCCCTTCTTGGTCTGGGACTCGGGAAGGAGCAGGTCAAATCTGGAATGCTCATAGATTCTTATTTCCTAGGAGGGAGAGTCCATTTGAGTTATGTTATTCTCATGGAGAGAATTTAAAAATCTCAGGTAGAAATTGGAGTTTAAGATTCCACCTAATTTCTAAGTTCAGAGGGGAAAATACTCAATGACTTAAAACCCAGCTTTAGAATGGCTTATCTGCCTTTCATTCCAAACATAGTTCCAATTTCCCATATTTAAGAACTCAGGGAGGAAATGGGCCCAGAGAAAGAAGAGAAAGAATGAGAAGCTTCCTTCAGATCTGAGAGCCGGGCAAGAGCATTCCATATCAGTAGAAAAAAATCCAGGTAATTGATCCTGACAGGGTTTAAGTTTTTAATATATTTGAATCTTTTATCTTATTTCGGAGAAAGATAAGAAGGACACACAGCACTCAGAAAGCACCCGGGTTGTTTACACATGATAAAAGAATAAAGGTAGATCACTTTCTCTTCCAGGACCCAGGTGAGTGGGTAAAATGGGCAAGTTGGTGTACTTTCTCAACAACGCTGTGGTGATAATTTAATCCCATTATTTGATGAGGTCAGTAGACAGAAGATGTTTACTTTTTATTTTTTTCATTTTGTGCTTTTTTAAGTGGAACTAAGTCATCGGCACACAGATCAATTGGCAGAGTATAGTGAGGGCAAAGAGCATGCTGCCCAGGCTGACTGTGATTTTCCACTTGCATGCTGTGTGGCTTTCAGTGTGTTTATTTCTCTCTGCTTCAGTTTCCTCTTCTATAAAATGAGAACTAGCTGAATGTGGTGGCACACGCCTTTTAGTCCCAGCACTTGGAAGGCAGAGGCAGAAGCAGACGGATCTCTGTGAGATCAACTTGGTCTACATAACGAGTTCCAGGCCAGCTGGGGCTACAGAGAGACCTTGTCTCAAAAAAGAGAAAGAAATAGAAAGAGCTTCTAAAACATTCTTACTCTATAAGGTTGTTATAAAAGTTAATAAATACATGTAAAGTGTTCAGAACAGTGCCTGACATATAATAAATATTCAATAAATATTAACTCATTAAAATGTGAAAACTAGGATAGGTTTATTGGCATTCTTTATCACATAAGCTTAAATTAACTAATATACTTATTTTCAATTAATGTTACTTTAAAAAATGCCAGCATATAATACACAGTGCTGTTAGTAAATGTGACACAGAAGTGGAACTTGACTTATTGCCTGAGATCCAGTGATTTATTGTTGAAGTGTTCAGTTGCTTTCCCTGTCTGTAGTTTTTCTTCCTTTGCCTTGGAATCATTCTTGACTTTCCCATACTTTTGTCATTAGAAAATGTATAAGGGGAAAATGAAAATATGAAAATTAGAAAAGCAAGTATTTATAAAGGGCTTTAGAACTGCTGAGAAAAAGTACCCACCAACTCTCATATTTTCTATCTTAACCATTTCTTCTTGCTTCCTCTGCTTCAGTTGCTGTGACACCTCTGTCTCCCTACCCTTTACCAAACCTTCCACCCTGCCTTAGGAAGTTGTTTTGTCACAGGCACAAGAGTGTTAGGATGGGGTGAACCTGGGAGAGCTTTTCTTTCTGTCTGGACCTGGATGTCCTGTGCCTAAATTCTTGGATTCTGTACTTCAGTAAACTAAAAAGTACCCTTCGGTATGAACAAAAGAAATTTTCTTAAAGAAACTTAACAGCATCATCTTCTGTATATAGTGCACAATTCTTAGCAGCTTTTAAAATCTAGTAATCCTATTCATAATCCATCCCTTAAAACTGTTTTTGTTTTGTTTTTATTTAGAGAATTTTTCATTGTCAATGCTAAATCCAGGAAGGATTCTGGAAGAAGAAATGACTAGGTAACTTATGTATACGTATATATTATGTACTATTTTTTCTCTTCACATCAGATGGGTAATGTGCCAGTGTGTAGCAAGGTTTGAGGGCAGCACATGTCACGCATGTGCATGAACATCCAGTCATCACCGCTTATGAATCAAAAAAGGATCTGTGTACTATTTTTAACATTCTATTTGAAAATAATTTCCTACTGCAGAGCTGTGGTAATGCACAAAGATCACCTGCTCTCTTTTCTGAGATCCACCTGCTGTTACAACTTGCACCCCAGCCCCAGTTTCAAGGAAGTTGCTTTGCCTTTACTTCAATGACATTCTTAGGAATAAAAATATTATCTTATGTAACCACTGTACAGTTGTCAATTTTTGTAAAGTTAATAAAACACAGTTATCTAATCTACTACCTTATTCCTGTTTTGTCACCTAGATTCCAATAGAGCCATTTATGGCATTCACACCCCTTTCAGTCTTACAGAAGTCTCAGAAGCCTGTAACATAGTGATTGGATATGCCTGCATGTTAGTTACTCTCTGACTAAACAGGTGTCTGCGTGCTAAAGCAGGCCTCAAAGACTTCTACTTGAAAACAGTTTTTGAAATTAGATTAAAGATATATTTTAGGAACTGGAGAGATGGCTCAGCAATTAAGAGCACTGACTGATCTTACAGAAGACCCAGGTACAAATCCCAGCACCCACATGGCCACTAATAACTGTCAGGTAACTCCAGTTCCAGGGAATCTGATGCCCTTTTCTGTCCTCCGCAGGCATTGCATGACACAGGTGCACTTGTATGTATACATGCATGCAATACATGCATGCGCATAAAATTAAAAAATAAAAAATTAAAGATATATATTTAAAACATTCTCTGAATTGAGACAATCAATGATGTGTTTAGAAACTGCCAAATGTCTCATGGGGAGCAAAACTGCCTCCAATTGAGAAACACAATAACAACGTGTATATTCTTGCAAACACACTGCAGTTTATTCCTCGTCACTCCAACACACATCAAAACCTGCCAAAAATAATTTTCCTGCCTTCCACAAATACTTTCTCATCAGAAATGCTGGGCTTGGGTTGGTGGGTTGGCTCAGAAGGCTAAAAGCACTTGTGACCAAGCCTGAAAACCTTGAGTTCAAACCCCAGCATCTATAGGAGAAAACTTGCTCCCAAAAGTTGTCCTCTGGCATCCATACATTCACTAGGGCAAGTGCAGGCCCTGACTCCTTCACATATCACACACAAAATTTTTATTATTATTAATTTAGAGACAGGGTCTCCCTGTAGTCCCAGCTGGCCTGGAACTCATTACATAGATCAGGCTAGTCTCATAGAAATCCATTTGTTTCTGTCTCCTGAGTGCTAGGATTAAAGCTGTGCACCACCATGCCCAACTTTGAACTTATTGTTTTTAAGAACTAACTTTCTACTTAATTAGCTAGTATTTTACTCCAGATCAACTTGAATTTATTAAATTTTATCATGTTAATTGAAAATTTTATCTGTCAAATAGGAAGAGATTTTTTTACATTAAAAAACATGGAAAATCTTACACCCAAAACTATTTTGCTTGCTTTATATGTTTACTGTGATGTTTGCAGTATGTAAATGGTAGAGAAGTTCTCAGGATAATGAGCATGCAGGCCTAGGAAACAATTATGGCAAATTGTCATCAGTTAAAGATGAAGCATTGATATCATGTTTATGCAGTTAACCAGTATGTGTTTTCATGGACAACATTTTAGACAAATAGATTTCCCATCATGGAATGCTCATCTTGCCATTTAAGAAGAGAGAAATGAAAATGTGATGATGTTCTACAGTCTTTATGATGCATTTAGCTAACTGATTAATTTCCAATTCTGAAAAAGTCTCCTAAACCAAGTGAATAAAGGACAATAGTTAAACAAACATGTCTAGCTGGGCATGGTGGTGCATACCTAAGATCTCATCGAGGGAAGCTGAAACAGGAGGACCACAGGTCAGCCTGGGCTACAGAATGAGTTCAAGCAACCCTCAGCTGCATAAGGAACAAAAACAAACATAAACAGAAAAATAAATGAGGCTTTCTGATTATTTTCCAGATATGCATATTACTATTCAGGATTAGGTGCCGGAGTTCTTATTGCTGCCTACATCCAAGTTTCCTTTTGGACTTTGGCAGCTGGCCGACAAATTAAGAAAATTAGACAAAAGTTTTTTCATGCCATCCTACGACAAGAAATAGGCTGGTTTGACATCAACGACACCACTGAACTCAATACACGGCTAACAGAGTAAGTGTATTGTTAATATTGCACTTTGATGGAGAAATTAAGCATTCTGTGAGAAATCGTCAAGGGAACGAAGATTTTAAACAAAAATTATTACATTAAGTGTTTGATGTAAATGGAGTCTGTATCGTCTGATAGGCATTCCTAGACGCTGCCATAGCTTATGCCACAACATGTTTTCCGTAAGTTAGGGCTTTTTTCTTTAAATTATTTAGTAGGTTTATTTGAGGATTGAGTGCATGCTTTGTGCCTGTTTAGCTCCAATGGAGCGCACCAGAGGCTTCACAGGTGCTAGCCCTGGAGTAAAGATGGTTGAATGGATAAATAAATGACTGTCTGAATTAAAAGAAACTTGTTTAGTAAATATTGACTCTTCACTTATTCAACCAGTATTTAAGGACCTATTACATGCTAAGTACCCTCCTAGAGCTTGGGATGTGTGAGGGAACAAAGTCATCAGCTCTGTGTCTTTGGTGCTTTGTTCCAGGAGGGAGAGATAAATGGTAAACACTTCCTGACTAGAAGTTCTGGCAAGAGCATGTGAGCAGATGAGGTCACAAAGAAGGAATCAACAAGGCATTTAGGGCCTTCAGGCCTTAAAAAGCCTTTAGCTTTTGCTCTGAAAGAAATGGCAGGCTTTGGAAGGTTTGAGCTGAGGGAACATGATTAGACTTTCCCTCTTCGGATGGTCACACAGGCTGCAGTGAGATAAAAGCATAGCTATAGATTGAATACCTCTTATCTGAGATGCTTAGGACTAGAACTGCTTCCATTTTGAGGAGTTTGGTTGATTGGTTAGTGTTTTGAGACAGGGCGTTTCTGTAGCCCCAACTGGCCTGGAACCTGCTATGTAGACCAGGCTGGCCTTGATCTCATAGAGATCTTCCTACCTCTACCTCCTGAGGACTGGAATTAAAGGCATGTGCCACCACTGAGTGGCAATATTTTTCTTTTGACATATTGATATAGACTCTACCAATAATGGAGCAACCTTAAATGGAAAAAATCTGAAATTCTAAATTTGAAACTTTCTGAGCATCAACACAATCCTCATAGAGTTTCAGCTGCTGGGTGTGGTGGTATACATCTCTAATGCCAGCACTCCAGAGGCTGAGAAAGTGGGATGCTGAGAGAGAGGGATCGAAGGTTCAAGGCAAGCCTGGGCTGTCTTGTCTCAAAAAGACAGGAAGGGGAGCAGGGAAAGAAAGGGAAGGGAGCAGAACGGAATGGAATAGAAGGGAAAGGAGTTTGGAATTTTAGAGCAGGGATGCTCAACTTGGAAATAGATATATATTATCTTTTGCTATGAATGTTCTTTTTTCTGCTGTAATACTTTTCCAAAAATCCTACTTTTAAGCAAATTGATTCATGTTCACAAGACTAAGCCTTCTGTAATAAGCTTAACTGATTTCATAGTATCAGCTTTAGTAGTACTAACTTCTTAGAAACATGAACTAATCCTGAGTTTCCTTTGTGTAGTACATTAATGGGAAAATACTTAAGAGGCTAAAATTCTGAAAGAGGCTTACAGTCGTGTGGGCATGTTTTACTGTCTATGTGTTTATTATGTCTGCTTCACCTTTCTAACTAAAGACCTCCTGCCTGTAACCACTTAGGTGTGATCTTTTTTAGTGACATCTCCAAAATCAGTGAAGGAATTGGTGACAAGGTTGGAATGTTCTTTCAAGCAACAGCCACATTTTTTGCAGGATTCATAGTGGGATTCATCAGAGGATGGAAGCTTACCCTTGTGATCATGGCCATCAGCCCTCTCCTGGGGCTCTCTGCAGCTGTTTGGGCAAAGGTCTGTAAAACTCAGATGTTCTCATGTTGTACACCCACACGGTGCTTTTAATATCCAGAATGCTGGTACTTGAACAGATCTGTGTTTGATGTCAGTGGAAACCTGTTTAGCTTTAATATGAAATTTTAATGATTTAAAATGCTACACTTCTAACCTCAATTACTGTTTGGGGGGTTTTGTTGTTAATTTTTACTGCTATTTCTCTGGGTAAATGTTCTGATACAGTAGATTAGCTATGTATGCTTAGATTCTTATTTAAAGAAACTTTTAAAACATATGCCTCCAAATTCTTTTTAAATAGCATACAGATTATTTTCAATTGTTATCCGTAATAGTTACATAACATTCTCTTAGTTTTGCCTTACAACAAAATATATATAGTCTTCTAGTCTTGAGCCAACATTTTATAACTGAGAAATTTTACTGGCAACTTTTGTCCATTCTGGGGTTGATGGTTTACTTAGTGAACTACTTGTATCTCTCTTGTTTTGTTTTCTCCTTTACTTTTCTCTTGAACCATCTTGTTGAATAATCCCATTATTTAGTAAAATGACCATTGGTAAGTTTGGAAGTATCATTTTCATAGTGGTTAAAAAATGTGACAGGATTGGAGAGATGACTAAGTGGATCAATTACTTACCTTGCAAGCATGAGGACCTGAGTTCAATCCCCAGAATCCACATAAAAAATCTGGGTATATTGGCATGATTTTATAATCCCAGTTTGGGGGAGGTAGAGACAGACAAATCCCTGGGGATGATGGTGAGCTCCAGGCCAGTAAGAGACTATCTAAAATAAGAAATGAATGCTCAACTTACAATAAGATATAGTATTTTTAAATGCTTGTTTAGGGTGTTCTTTTTTTAAATTTTATTTTATGTGTATGCATGTATTGCCTGCATGTAAGTAAGTGTACCCATGTCGTGCAGTGCCTGCGGAGGTCAGAAGAGGCTGTCGGATCCCCTGGAACTGGAGTTATAGACAGTTGTTAGCTGCCATGTGGGTGCTGGGATTTGAAGCTGGGTCTTCTGAAAGAACAACCAGTGTTCTTAACTGCTGAACCATCTCTCCAGTCCCTTGGGTGTTCTTTTTACACACATGTATCCTTACACATATGTGCATGCACACTCATACACATGCGTACACAAATTATGGCTCAATATAGGAGAAAGTGTAATGAATCCTTCCAAGGTGTAAAATTTTATTTTAGTTTCGCAGTTACCAGGAAAAGTCATCATTATGGATTTTGACACTATTCCCAAATACACCATTTAGAGAAGAATTATGTGTGGCTTTCCTTTTGCTGGCTACTCACTCGTAGTCACCAGGTGGTTCGGATCCAGCCTTTAGGAGAGCAAAATGCTAAGGCCCGTTTTGCTACCTGACTTTGATGTTGTAAAACATATGGTTTGGATAAAATGTAGGTTAAAGAGTTGTCCAGATGGTCTTTTAACTTTTCTCCCCATGTAAAAGTCATGACTGTTTCTCTTCTGAACAGATACTCTCGGCATTTAGTGACAAAGAACTTGCTGCATATGCAAAAGCAGGTGCTGTGGCTGAAGAGGCTCTGGGGGCCATCAGGACTGTGATAGCTTTCGGGGGCCAGAACAAAGAGCTAGAAAGGTCAGGAAGATTCTTTGTCCAGTATTTCAAAGAACCCACTTTTACATTGTGTCGCTCATTCTTTTGTGGTGTGTGTTTATTACTTTATCTTTCCTAATATTAATTCTTCCCTCACCTAAATCAAGAGGCCTCTACTGCTGGCCTTGGCTCGTCGGCCTCTAACTCAGGGTTCTTGATCTTGTATGCTCCGTGAACACTGTTGGTGTCTGGTGATACCTAGGAACTGCCTTCTCAGAATGTGTTTAAGTGCATACAATGAAACATGTAGGGTTACAGAGAACACCAGTTAAATGGAGGCACAGTTATCGAAGTACTTTTTTTTTTTCACTTCCTTAAGGGCTGTGAACTGGAATACACAGAAAGAAAAGCTGAGGAGATGAGGACCTCCCAGGCACAGCCCATGCTGGGGCTATGAGTCCTCTATGAGGAAAGGGCAGCAGCTACCCTCCCCATGGCTAGTAAACTTAGCATCTGGAGACATGACATAAGCCCTTCTCCATGTGCTCGAGGACATGGGCAAGTCCTTAAAAAACACAACAAAATGCAAATTAAACAATTTTATTGATAAGGCATTGATAAAGAGCTGTACTTAACCAGTATGTACATTTTGATGTGTTTGGGATAAATAAACATTTATATACATCACTAATGTTCTCATTAAAAAGTTTCCTTTCATATAGTTTAAACTATATGAAATATGACTCCATATAAATATCTTCTTTAGTCTATGAAACTCTTCATAGCTACATGTCTTTGAAATAAAGTCTCTAGAGGGTCTGGAGAGTTGTCTCGGTGGTTAAGAGCGCTGACTGCTCTTCCTGAGGACCTGGGTTCAGTTCCCAGCACTTACATGGCAGCTAACAAACATCCATAACTCCTGTCCCATGCCCTCTTCTGGCCTCCATGGGCATTGCATGCATGTGATGCACTTACACACATGCTAAGCAAACACTCATGCACATAAAAAAAAAAAAGTGAAAATAAATAAATTAAAAAAATTTTAAGTCTTCAGAAATTTTTCACAAATGTGGAGCATTAAAAGCAATGCTTCTCCAATCTCCTCATTTTCTATTTTTCTATTCCTTAATCCCTCTTCAAAACCACATTTCTGGTTCTCTAACCTCTTCCTTTTTTCTCTCTTGCTGCTGCTTCCTGTACACAATAGTCCACACAGACCACACTAACCCTCACTTGGACCTCAGGATGTCAGTGTAATCATGCCGCTCCATTAGCGAGCCACCCACGTGAAGGTAATTACAGCATGTCAACTCTCACTGGAGCACTGAGTCACACGGGGGCACATGTACACCTTGCTGCATACACCTGGTGGCTCTGCCACACAGCAGTAATCACAGTGTTCGATGTGGCTGCCTCCTCAGACACATAGCACTGATTGAGGAATGCAGCACCCATCCTGGAGAAAAGTACTCTCAAGAACTCGGTGCTTTAAGTCATTAAAAAGACTTTTTTGGTGGTAGCATACATTAAAAAAAAAAAAAACGATTTCCCATATTTCATTTGGTTGAACTAAAAAATAATGATATTTCTGGAGGGGGTTTGTTAAAAAGAAATACTCTAATTTGAATATTTTCCCCAAAGTTTCATCGTACACCTATTAGATTTTTTTCCTTTAATATCGGGGAGCCAACATTGAAATTGACACAATGTTTAACTCTAGCATGGAAAAGTTGAATTAGTTTAATCTGATATAAAAAAATAATTTGACCAAAATCATTATAAAGATTTGTAACTTTATATGTATGATTGTGGAAGCCAGTAATATGAATTTAAGATAAGATAGCTGGGGCTGGAGAGCTGGCTCAGTGGTTAAGAGCACTGACTGCTCTTTCAGAGGACTCAGGTTCAATTCCCAGAACCCAAATGGTGGCTAAGAACTGTAACATCCATAACTCCAGTTCCAGGGGAATTCGACCCTCTCTTCTAAACTCTGTGGGCATTGCACAACAGGGGTGCACTTACATGCAGGCAATATACTCATACACATAAAAATAATAAATAAAAATTAAAAATAAGGTATCTAATGAATGAATAAAATTTACCAAGAGATGGTAGTCTAACATAATTATTCAAATAATAAGAATTATTAAGTTTATCTAGTATGTGCCAGGAAGCAAACACACTACATTCTGTAACTATTAGCCCACAATTGTCTCACTAAGTAGGCATTACGTAGTAGAGCTCTTTCTTCTGCTTTTCAGATGATGAAACTAAAGCAGAAAAATTGAGAAAGAGCCATATCCCTTGTAGGAAACACTTTGTAGCATTCCACCTAGAGCAACAGTGGAAGGTCAGCTTGATTTGAAAAGATCAAAGCAAGAAGCCCCCGGTTTATATGTAAGGATATGTAAAATTACTGTTCCTTACCCAGTAGTGCAATTTTGGGAAGATTTTTTCTCTGGAGAAGAGAAAATGGACCTGATTTAAGAATTTAACCATTAAAGAGTCTAGAATATACATTCCTCGTTGGCTTGGTTTCTCTTCTCCACTTTTGTCATGATGTGATGCTGGCCATGAAGGTAACAGAAAGGTTCTTTGAATCCTGGGGGTGAGACCTCAATTCTTGAACAGGTTTGGGAACGCTAGTTGGCCTAGGGGTCCAAGGGAGATGAGTCAGACCAGTGAAGAACAGGCTGTTCTAGTGAGCACTGATCCTGAACTGGGCCAATTCCCAGGAAGCTGGGGCTCCCCAGGTGTTTGTTACCTTCATGACTTTCATCTTCAAACTTCTGACTGCATGGGAGGTTATAAATTATTATTCTCATTATAACATATTCCCCTTCATTTTCTGGTAGGTATCAGAAACATTTAGAAAATGCCAAAAAAATTGGAATTAAAAAAGCTGTCTCAGCAAACATGTCCATGGGCATTGCCTTCCTATTAATATACGCATCCTATGCACTGGCCTTCTGGTATGGATCCACTCTGGTTATATCAAAAGAATATACAATTGGAAATGCAATGACAGTAAGTAATGTTCCTAATGTTTATGGGGAATCTGAATTCATAAACTTTAACTTTTTATTTATACTTATTTTATGTGTATGAGTATTTTGCCTGCATGTAAGTGCACTCATGCTGTGCAATGCCTGCAGAGACCAGAAGAGGGTGTCAGATCTCCTGTCACTGGAGTTATAGGTGGATCTGAGTGCTGGGAACTGAACCCAGGTCCTCTGCAAGAGCAGTTAGTGACCTTAACTGCTGAGCCATCTCTCCAGCCCTGGAATCTGATTTTTTTCTCCACTTACCTTCTCTTTCTTTTAAAATAGATTTATTTTTATTATTATTTAAAATTATGTACATCTAGGAGTGGTAGCACACCCTTTAATCCCAGCAATTGAGAGACAGAGGCAGGCAGATCTCTGTGAGACAGGCCACCCTGGCCTATATAGTGAGTTCCAAGCCATCTGGTGCTACAAGGAGACCCTGTCTCAAAAAGATAATAAATAAAAAATAAATAGATAAAATTATGTGTTTGTGTATGTGTCTGTATGTGGGTATGTGTGCATGAGAGCAGGTGCCTATGGAGGCCAGAGGTATAGGGTCCCCCTAGAATTGGAAGTATAGGTGAGCCTCCTGACATAGGTGCTGGGAACCAAAATCAGGTCATCTGCAAGAGTAGTATGCATGCTCGTAGCCCCTAATCCATCTCTCCAGCCCTCTACCTTCTCTTTCTTTCATTTTCCTCCTTTTGGAAAGATAAACTGTGATCAAAGATTTTAGTCTCCTAGCTAATCTTTGCTGTCATGTGGGCAGAGCTGGCCTTCTGGAACATGCAAGTCCTAGTGATGAGAGAGGACAAGACAATGGCATGTGGTTTGAAACATATATAGCATATAAAAAGAATAAAAATGTCAGGAATTTATGAATAGAATAATATGTGTTGGAGTCACCCTTATTCTCCTGTTGAGTTTAGCTATTTATTGGGGGATAGTATGCATTTATTAGTCATTGTACAATGTAAGAGAGTATTCAGTTCACATAATATAAAATACCAGCTATTTTAAATATAAAATTTAAGGGGCTGGAGAGATGGTTCAGCAGTTAAGAACACTGTCTGTTCTTGCAGAGGACCCGGGTTTGAATCCCAGCACCCATATGGCAGCTAACAACTGTCCATAACTCCAGTTCCAGGGGATCTGACACCCTCTTCTGTTCTCTGTAGGCATTGCACGACACAGGTGCACTTACCTACATGCAGGCAATACACACATACACATAAAATGAAATAAAATACAAATAAATAAATAAATAGATAAAATTTGTGATAATTCATTTGTCTATGAGAAAATAAAAATACTCTCATGTCATGATTATGAAAATAATATATTCTAATTATACTAAGGATTAAAATAAAAACTTTTAAAATTACTTATAACCTAATAATCATTTTGTATTTGATGATTTTTGGTATGTATTTATCATTCATATATTGTCTTCTCTTTCTAACTGGAATCACAATCTGTATTCCTTTTGTAATTTTTTTTACAAATCAGCAATATTTTGTGACCATCTCATGTCGTACAACACCAAATTGTTTAAACAGGAACCTTTCAAAGTCTTCACTTGCCTATCTTCCTAAACAGAACTTCTTAAATGTCATTTAGTCCTTTGAACTTAGCTTCATGTGAACTTACATCTTCATTATGTGCCTTACAGTGGCATCACCAGCCCCTCAGTAAGAGTTGAGGGCTGTTTGGATGGAGGAGCTTTAGTAACTGCTGGTCTCTCCCCATTTCCTTTAGTTCTCTGGCCA